TTTTTTTTTGATACTGCCAAAGCACGGGAGCAGTTGCCCCAGGAGCTGGTCATGAAAGTTGCAGAGAGAGTATTTTTGAAGACTGAGTTCTTTTCCTATTAAAGCAAAGCAAAGCTTGATTGATTACTTGCTGGTACTCTCCTCATCCTACTAATTATGGCAAATACTGCCACAATAAAAAAAAAGGAAGGAGAAGAATTAAGAGGCCGGCGCAGATCCTGCTTTTTTTGGCAGGGCTCTGGAATACCAGTGAGAACCCTGGGAAGGAGAGAGCCATTTATTTAAGTGACAATGCAAATGCTCTGGCTTCCCGTGACTCAACAAAAATCCACATTTCCAGCAAGGACTGCATCCATCTCAGAAGGGATGTGCTGCAGTTGAAGCCCCTTTTTACAAATATTCAAGCTAAACTGGCTTTGAAGGGGCCGTGTTCATGCATAGTAATTGTGATTTTCGTTATCTGAGAGGGAGGGTTATGAATAACTCTTTACAAATAATTCTGTAGCATTCGTATTGAATGCTTGCAGTAGGCTTTCGGCATGGACTTTGGGGATTACCAAAAGATGGTTTTTGAGCCAGTTCTTGAAGCTTGATGAGGTGAAAAAAAAAAAGTGTGTCCCTGCCCCCTTCCCTTCCATCCCCCCCATTAACTCAGCAGTCAACATTAACAGTGCAGAAGAGCTCTGTTACCTAGAGCAGGGTTAAGAGTACCTAACAAATGCATTTATGGTTATTCAGAGCCACAGTGTGATGGTTCTGCATCAAGGTACACAGCCTCCCATTTGATGCTCCAGTGGGACAGGTGACTTACAGCTTAATATAGTGCTGTTTCTGCTCAGAGATGAAGCAGCTGATCCAACTTGCTGGAATTTTAAGAAGGGGCTCAGAGTCTCTAAAAGGGGAGCTCAGGTGGATGAGCACTTCCACTGTAACTGGATCTGTTCTACTGGTTACTAGAACATTCTTTTCTGCATTTTCAAGGAAGTGTGTTTAATTAGCTGTCACTAAAATCTATTTTTCAGAGGTTCTGAAAAAGCAGATGAGACTACATTTGAATTGAAAGAGTTCAGAATTAGCAAGAAATGACTGAATGCTCTCACCCTAGTTCCTTGGCTTCAACTGTCAATTTTAATTTAGGCTGCATTATTTAAAGCCGTGCAAAGATGAGGCCATGAATAATTAAGACAGCGGATGAAGTAAATATGCATTCCTAAGAAGCTTCTTACCTGCTGTAACAAATGTTAACGTCCTGTCTTTCTGCTTCTTTCAGAATGCTACAGATCTTGGACCCGAGACCCTTGCCAAGCTCCATCATGCCTGTGGACATGGCCATGAGAATTTGCTTAGCCCATTCTCCACCGCTAAAGAGTTTTCTCAGCCCCCTCGAGGACTGTCAAAGAAACAACTTTGTGAACAGATTCAAACCTCTCAGACCGTGTCTTCACGTGAAACGTGACTCTGAAGCTCAGAAGAGCGACTGGAACCACTCGGCAGCCCGAGCCAAGAAGCGAGTTGTGTTTGCGGATTCAAAGGGGCTGTCCCTGACGGCGATACACACCTTCTCCGAGTTCCAGGAGCAGCCTGGGTGGGATCTCCAGTTTGACCTCTTAGGCCTTGAAAACATAACGTCTGGCTTAAAGCTACATGAGGAGAAAAACTTGATTCTGGGTTTCCCTCGGCCCTCAGCTGACTACCTGGACTTCAGGAACCGCCTGCAGAAGAACTTGGTCTGCCTGGAGAACTGCACCCTGCAAGAGAAGGTGCTGTCGGGGACTGTGAAAGTAAAAAACGTGAGCTTCGAAAAAAAGGTTCAGGTTCGAATTACCTTTGATACGTGGAAGACCTACACGGACGCTGAGTGTGTATACATGAACAACGTTTACAACGATTCTGAAAATGATACCTTCTCATTTACCATTGACTTGCCTCCTGCCATTTCCTCTGAAGAGAAGATAGAGTTTTGCATTTCTTACCAAAGTGGAGAACATACCTTCTGGGACAATAACGAGGGTCAGAATTACAAGATTCTCCACGCAGAGTGGAAGCCTGATGGTGTTCAGATACCATCTGCCAAGAAAGACTGTGTAGATCTTCAGACTCCAAGGAGGGGACAAGAGAGAGAGCCTGATCAGCTTGGCAGCCCGAGGCTGTCCAGCGGATTCTTTCCCCAGTGGCAGAGCTTGGGGCGTATTGAAAATTCATCACCATATTGGTGATTAATACTAGCGAGGAAGCATTCTTCCATTTGGCAACAGAACAGTGCTAGCTTTCTGGTTCACATACTATGTGACGAAACCACCTGGCAGGTTTTGTTGGCTGTCTGAACAAATCCAGATTCACTACTCTGCAGGACTTGTTAAACCGTATTATGCTACTGAAGTTCTTAGCCAAAACTTATCCTTGGAAAGAAAGAAAACCAAGATAAAACCCATGCATATGCCACCTACTATAGAAATAGCATGCCCGTATCTTATGTATACGCTGCTTTCTTTCTGCTGTAGACTCTCGCTGAGTCACCAGGCGAGAGGCTCTTGTGAGGAAGTGTGGAAGGCGATGGTATCTTAGCAAACCATAACTGCATATGTGAGAGTATGTGTGCGCGCACAAGAACGTTACATGAACAGGACATCACACTTCATTTTGCACCTATTAGGAGTGCAGTAGAGATGAGGTGATGCTGTCAGGACAGAGGCTTGCTATGACCCTCTACGTGCTTGTAGCAGAGGCAGGTAGGACTGCATGGCTAGGATTTGTGGCTTCAATACAGGTTCAGAAACTTAGAGAGGATAATGGAAAAGTGAGAGAAGGGGAAGAGGTAGGATGTGCTGTATAACTTGGAGATGTACAGTATTCTAGTTTCTTCTTTCCAAAGCTGGTCTTCTAAATCCCAGAGAAACTTCTCTGGGTCAAAAAGGAAAATACAGAAAACGATCCAGAGGATCATACAAGTGACTGCTGCTTTGGGAAGACATCTGTGTCCTTGTTGGCTTTGTGAATAATAAATGTCTTGCACGTGAGAGCAAATCTAACCTTGACTTCATCATCCTACTCACTTAGCAGGCAGATGTCATTCTAATGTCAAAAGAAAAATGTGCCTTTTAAAAGAAATTTTAAAACCTCCCTACATGCCAAATACAGGGTGAGGTGACAAAACAGACCAAGCGATTTGTAAGCTTCCTGATCTGTAGCAGCATTGGATGATTTGACTCATCACCTGATCTGATCTTACAGCATCTGGTGGTCAAGTGTCCTGCTCCCTATTGCAAAGTTAGCGATGACTTTTCACAAGTGTGTAACATAGGCAAGGTCCTTCATATTGAAGACAGTGAATTAGCTGCATGTTGTGAAAGCTAATTTCTTTAAAAGAGCAGGGTTGCTACTAGTTTTTTCTAGACTGAATATAGGCTTGCACATAAATAGAAAAAACTGCTCTGTTTTATTGTACCTCATTTTTTGAAGGTTTTTTTTAGACTTCAGTGAACTAATGCATATTTTGTATCTGTATGCTTATAATTTAGCTTTCTGAGCTGTCAAACTGTTAGGGTGATCTGTGTTTCATGCAAGACTTGTGAGAAATTGTCCAATATGTACTCAGCAGGTGTGAACACTGGCACACCTTTTAGCTTTACAGAAATGGTGTTAACATCAAAATATAAATCACATTTCTGCCCATTGCTAAAAAGTATAATATCCCGAGTCTGTAGCTACTTGCAATACAGTGAGATGATAAATACTAAGGTAAAATAAGCCTCCTCCACTAATTGCACTTTTTCCGTATGTAACCCTTGCTGTTATGTGTAAACTAGCCATTTTAAGAATAAATTGTATTTTGATACACGTGGTTCTTACTGTGTCAGCTCAATCTGTCTATTTTCTCAACTTCTTTAAACAACTTCAGTTGTGATATAAGGTACAACCAGTTTGTTCTGTGCCATGGGATGTTGATAAAGCTGGCTGCGGTATGGTATCTCAGGTCAGCAGCTGGCATTACCCTGAAGATGAAATCCAATGTCTTCACTAAATGAGTGATCTTCAGACATATTCACCTTGTGAGATGTGTCATTTAAAAAAACAAACACACACAAATCCTGTATCTCAACAAATGTAACTGGAATATTTTGCTTTGACAGATTCTGCCAGGAATCCTGCTGTGCCATGGGCAAGTCTGTCCGGCAGGACTCTGTCTTAATCCGACTGCTAGACTTAACCTGCCGAGTTATAGCATATGCGATGCTTGCATGGGCGCATCTAGACAGCAGTACTTAATGTCTTCTAGATCATTTTCACCTGGTACTTGGCTCATTATGCTGCCCTCTGCAGCTACGCCACTGTTTGGGGCAGTGGGAGGTTGGGTTTTCTCCTCTTACACCCAGGAGCCCAAAAAAACCATCAGTACCAAACGACCCTGCAAACTCAAGTGTCTGTCTCAGAGCCAGCCATTCACCTTTGACACTGCAGCGTGGACCTACCCTTGCACGTGCTTAGAACAGAGAACATGGTGTGTTGTTTCCCAAGGGCCCTAGTCCCCCAGGAACAGAGGGTTTTGGTAAACCCCGGCTTCTCCTAGATGGCAATTTAGGCCAGCACAGCGTAAGGACAAGTTAGGCAGCACCAGCTGCACACCAGGTACTGTCTTAAGAAATCCCATATAAAGTAAGTCAGTGACAAGATGCAGTTTAGTTCAGTCTGTTGCACACAAAGTCAAGGGTTAACTAGCAAGAAATCTAGTTTAATTATGAAAAAGCAATTCCCAAAAGGCAAAAGATGACATGGTGCTAACAGCATGATTCTGACCTGGGGAACGAATTTAGAGCTTCCGCATTGCAAAGCCTGCGCTGGACGCAGATCCCTCCTTTCCCCAATGCTGCTCACCAATCTCAAACTCTACTGAGTACCACGCTGTGTCTTACTGTGCAGGAACTCTTATGGTATATATGACACCACCAGCTCCCTGCTTGAGGAAAAAACAAAGTGAACTGAAGAGAGATTTGTAACTTAAGTGGCTTGAAGGCTCCTCTGCCTCAGTGTGGGACTTTACTTTGGCAAACCAGATGCAAGGCTACTGGATAGAGCAGAAGCCTTCTAGCCTGAGGAAGAGTAGCATTTCTTATCCTGCAGCCAAGTTTTGTGACCAGCCATCACAACTGAAAAATGCTTACTTGTCCTTCTCTTGACTGAGACATAAGTCACTTAAAAATACCAGAAGAGAGGTTCCTTTGACCAAGCTTTGGCTTTAAGCCAGCTTCTTTGCAAAGATGCCTTGCAAGATTTCATTTGCCCAGAGGAGAGGCAGTGCAGTGGTGCAGTGCCGCTCAGCAGCTCCAAAGCCCTCCCTCAGTCCAGAGAGCAAAGGATTTCTCCCATCTCCACCCCCTACCAAAGCAATGCAGCTTCACTCCTTCTTTCAAAACAGTTTGCTTAACACTAAAGCTTGCATTCATGGAAAAGGTAGACTCCTAAGGGAAGATATTAGCAATACTAAGGTATATTAACTGAAAAAAAATTAGTCTTACAGTATTTATCTTGTATTTATCAGAAACTGACAAAACCAGTATCACCCTTGGAAAACTTTTAGCCCAGGGAATTCAAACATGCATCTTAGATACTGCTCTTTCAGACACATCCTATTCAAAAATGGAAGGTATAAAGCAGATGCAGTCCTTGAAACAGAGCTTGTAAACCTATGGCATCGTCTCACTCCCTTATGAAATCACTTTTCCAGCTGTGTTGTAGATTTGTATTTCCACCACTAAGGTGAAAGATTCACTCCTGTAGCTCTGAAGGTCAAAGGTATCCACCTTTCAGTCATAGCCTATGGGTGGCACAGTACTTGGAGACTTTATTCTTCAAACATAAGTGTTTTAACTTGGGTTCCTAATAACTGTACTCACTTTTGTGAAGCTAGGCCTGGTCTTACTGTGGAAAAATAAATTGGAATTTGCTGGTGTTTCATACTAGCAAAGATCTGTCACCCTGGAAGATCATCATCTGAACATTTCCGGAGAACATAATTAGAATTTTCACAGGCAATCAGTGAATGTCTTTTTTTCTGTAATTATATATATCTAAACAAATTACCACCATTTGTATGGTAAATCTGGCAAATTAGCGGTAATATGTTAAATGTTACGGTATTTACATATGCATAAAGCAACAACTCCCATCCCTCAGACACTTCTGAGCTTTAAAATTAAATGTAATCAAGAACGAAACATTTCAGTGAGGGCGAAACAAAAGAAAGGTTGCACTAAGTCCTCTCTTGAGAGGCCTCTCCTCCTCTTTCAAGAATCACCTGTAGTTCAGACATTCCTGACTGGCATTTGCTGAACTTGTCCCTGCAGCCCTCCTGTGATGGCTCCACAAGCTTTCCAATTATTATTTCCTCTTCTTGCCTTAAAAGAGGCTCCCGAGGTCTCAGCCTAGTTAAAATTAAGCTCCCAATTATGTGTTTTATTCTGCATAGACAAGAGGAGGAAGCTATTGCTTTCTTTTTGCAATAGCCTATAAGTGCTTGAGAGCAAAGAAGAGCTTTCCCTCCTCTCCCCACATTCCTTCTCTAGGCTATGTAATACTTCGTTGCATGAAAAATTGATATTTTGGCTTTTCATCCTTGTTTGGAAAAGAACCTGTTAGACTTTTGGATTATCCCACAGGCAGAAATAACACTCAGCTAGCTCTGGTAAAAGCCTTGTGGTGTGGTCCTCCACTTCACCGGTGAAAACGGCACAGCTCAGTACCCATCTTTCATTGCTCAACTGACTTCATCTGTCTCATAAAATAAGGCCTCGGGAATGTACGTATCATTTGTGCAGTGCTCGATAGACTGTCTGTGAAGCTTATGACAGCCGGGCAGATTGAACCAGTGATGCGCTTCACTGAACGATTTATTCTGAGGATGGTATTTCCTCCATTAAAACATTCATCTTTTTCCTGCTCCTCCTCCCTATGTTGCAAACTGCTTCTAACACTCCAGCCTTTGTTTATCTCCTTTCTGGACTAGTCATTAAGTTGCTCGACTTTCATTTCTTCCATGTGAAGAACAGTGTTTTCTGCTTCAGTGACAAAATTCATACAAGCTTGATAGGATGTGCACAGAAAAGGCAGACTGACTTTTGTTTTTGCAGTGTTCACTGCAGATGGCCCAATGTCAATATCAGTAAGTGCATCTTTCAAACGGTAAGGTAGAAAATACCAGGGTTAATTCTGGTGAGGCAAA